CAGTGGCCACAGGCCAGACCTTGCTGTCAGGACTCTCTCTCAGGAGCCCTGGGAGGGGAGGGCTGCTGAGAGTGAAGGACAAAGGTCAAAGAGAAGACGCAGTGTTCCCTGAGCACCTGCTGTGGTGCCACCACTGCCTTGTGTCCTCCAGTCATCCCATAGCCTGTCCTTGTATCCTGAGGGGCTCTGTGCTGAGGAGCTGCGCCCCAGCCTCAGTCCTCCCATTTGACAGGTCAGTCAGGGGCCTCTCTGAAGAGGGAGGGTAGAGCAGAGAAATGAGTGTGAAGAGAGGATGAAGGAGGGTGATGTTAGAACAAGGGAACAGAGACCAGCAGATGGCGTAATAGTTACGTCACTGGACTCCCACTAGTCAACTGCAGTTCGAATCCCGGTGCTGATGGCTTAAAACTCACGTGGGGTGCCTGTGTATGCGTGCCCAAAATCCCGAGAGGAGAATGGAGAAGGGATTGTGGCATGGCCATCCCCCCCACTGGGGGTGATCTCTCACGTTCTGTCTCTCTATCTCTCTGTGTCTCTCCATCAAGTACACACATTCTATAGCAAAAATCTCTTAAAGAAGAAAGAAGGAAAAGAAAAAAAGAACAAGGGAACAGCCAGTGCAAAGTTCCTGGGGCAGAACTTAGCTTGACCCATTCACCCAGCAGCAGGAAGGCCTCACACAGGGAAAGGAGGGAGGTCAAGGTGGTCAAAGCAGTCCCGTGGACCAAGGCTGGATTAAATCCTCTCTGTGTTAGGGCCATGTTGAATGAGAGCATGGGTCCAGGCCTTCACTTCAGAAAAAGATGGGAGAACAGGTGTGGGGGAAGCCACAGAAGCGCCAGAGACTAGCACCTGCCTCCCAGCCAGGCCTCGAACTCTACAGCCAGCAGTACCTGCAGACCCTCTCTCTGCCCTGGCCACTCTTCCCCAACCCGGAGCAGGAAGCAGGAACCTATTTCAAACAGTCTCACTGCATTTTACCCCCCTGCCCCCAGTTCCAAGGGAGCCAGGCTGTGCTAGGCCAGGTCCAGGGACCCGGCTGGCAGCTCGAGGGCAGCAAACCGGGCAGCAGAGTCCCAGGCCTGCAAACCAGTCCCTCTCGGCACCTGTCCCCAGATTAGATTTCTCCTTTCTCATTACCACCGTAATGGGTCCTTCAGACCTCATTCCAGCCCTAGATATTATCTGACCCGTATAATTAATTAATTATAGCCCAAATATTATAGATTATTAAAAATAGCATAACTAATAGTGTAATATCTCAAGCTGTCGACTTTAATAGTCAACATTGTCTTGGTGGAGCTTATCAGCCCGGGACACCCGGTGAGAATATTGATTCCGGGTAATTTTAGCCGTCATCTGCCATCCTGACGGGGAATTGTCAGGTCCTCACCCGAGCCGGGGCTCATTTGAAATCGTTAAACCGCCGCGCGGCTCACAGTGGATCTTAATGTTTCCTTTTTCTCCCCTTCAATATGTTTCAGCAACAGAGAGGAAAATAAATAGAGGAGTGGAAGGGGGGAGAAAGGGGAGAGAGAGGAGGGCCTGTGCTCAGGGGGAGGAGAAGGGTGACTGATCTGCCTCTCACTTGGGGGACTCTGGACTCTGTGACCTCCTCCCTGTCTTCCAGAGGGTTCTCCTGACAGACCCCAGAAGGACTGTGCAGGCAGGCGAGGGCCACAGGACAAAGCTGAGGAGGGTTAGAATCACACACGCAAACACAACACGTGTGCTGCAGCCGAATCTGGAGACCAGAGAGTAGACTCTGCCACCCCTGGGTGGACTCCACCCCGGTGACACCCAACACCCCTCACAGGCACTCACAGACCACAAGGACACATGGACTCCCAGACACACACAGACACACACTCAGACGCATGCTGGGCACACAGTGGCACGGCCCCAGCTGGACACACGCACACGCAGGCACAAACACACAGGGACCCACACTCTGACACACACCTGTGCGGCAGTCACGCAGAGCCGACAGCGGGTCAGGCACTGAGGCGGACACACAGCTCACAGCAGGTGGATGGACACGCACCAGCCCAAGGGTGTGCAGGACGCAGACACACATCTATCAACAGACACTCCCTGAGGGCCTCCTCGGGGCCTTGCCAGCAAGGACTTAGAATACCTGGGGCGAGACCGGGGGTGGGGGCAGAAATCCTGTCCCAACAGATCACTAAACGCAGGCGAGAGGGCCCTGGGAGTAGGAGCGCTGGAACAGTGCGTGTGCGTGTGCGTGTGCGTGTGCGTGTGTATGTGTTGGGGGGACCGGGGTAGTTCCAAACGGCGCCAGCGCGGGGTGGGGCGGGGGGCGCTCCGCCCCCAGCGCGCGGCCTCTGCAGATGGCCCGCCCTGCTTCCGGGTGGGAGGGCCCCTGCCTGGCGGGAGGCCGCAGTTCCCCAAATGCAGGCTGTCCTCGGTGGGGAAGGGCTCGCCGAGGCGGGGGCGGCGTGGGGCGGGGCCGAGCTGGGGGC